AACAATACATACAAAAAGATTGGTTTTGGGGAATTAGGTGCATACATTAGTGGTGAAGAAACTTGGAAAGAAAGGGAATTTTGTAGTTGGACTTTCAATTTTGAATGTGTTGCTGCTGTAAATTTTCAGGCTTTCAGCTACCCAACACAACATATATATGACGCGGTTTCACACAAGAATGCTTTCAGGAGTTTTGAGAATAACTGAATAAAAATAGCCCCTGATCTATATCTATATATGTATGCACATACAAATGTTTGTATTTATCTGAAATAGACACTTAAATTCCGCCTAAAATTTTTAAAACTAATAAACTTGATAATTTTTTTCTTTTTTTTTAAATTCAATAAATCTCGTCTCTGAAAAATAATTATTCAATTTATGGTATAAAGTTATTAATAAATCTGATTTTGGTACAAAAGTGGGCGATTTTATTTAAGTATATGATGATCAATTTTATTTTTAGTAGGAAATTCGTTGTTATTAATATATGTATGATTTTATGGTATAAAGTTTGCGAATTTATTTTGGTATGAAATGTACGGATTTAAATGGTATGAATTTGGTATGGATAAAATTGTATTTGAAAATTTTGAAACCATAATAAGTAGTATGAATTTTATTTGGTATGAGTATGAAAGTCGAATTTTAGGTTGATTTGGTATAAAGGCAAAGTGGTATAATTCTAAAATTTATGCATATTCCCATAATAACTTGGCATAAGATATTGATGATAATTCGACGAATTGATATGTATTCTACTTGAGAATCAAAAAGATGTTTGAACAAAATATTAGTTAATAAAATTTAAAATTCATAACTTAATTATGAATTAAGTTATGAATTTTTATTGTGTAGTCCAAATTTGGGTTCTGAATTTAAAAATCAAACAAGTAATTATTCATAACTAAGAGGCCAATATTAACTTTCACGTAAATAAAATAGTCAATTATTTATAGTATAATAAACTACTCAATTACTTTTTTTTATTTAGATAGTTTATACAAATTTAAATTCACTTTAAAAATAAAAGCAATATAAGTTTTATAATTTTATTTATTATTTACATATATTTTTAAATATATGATAAAACTTACCAAAATAATTATTTTATGAAAGCAAATTGAAGTCAAACTGAATTTCTGAATAAAAAATTTAAAATGACACTTATTTTGAATGAATATAATGTAGTTTATTATCAGTCACGTGTACCATACTGGTTGTGTACTAATTATAAATAGACATGTTTATGTAATTTTGCACAATTTAAATTCAGTACAACACTTTTAATAAATTAATATACGTAAAATTGTATTACATATTGATTCCATATTTTTACTCACTGCTACCGCTTCGATTGGATCTGGTGGGGCGTGAAAGACTCGCGCGAACCATCCATCCCCTCCATCACCGTTTTCAAGGACTAATGGTCTGGTCTTTAGAAAATGGAAAAGATATCTATTTGTCGGTAAAATAACTTTCTTTCGAGTGATTTGATTCATCAATAGGGGACCTTCCCATACCATAGGAAGTGGCTTATCGGGTCACAAATGAAATGGTACGGTAAGATTGAAGGCCCGATCTCATTCCCTTATATGCATATGTAGAACGAAGAAAATCGGTTCTTCCCTTGCGAAAAGGAGAGCAATGAGCATTTTTAATTTAAAAATACTAATGAATATATTTTACTCGTGCATCGCACGGGATTCGTACTAGTATATGTTGATTTGTAATTTAATTTTTATTTTTACTAGCTTTGTTAAATTCGATCATGAACTCTCAATTCGGGCTATGAAATACATAATTTAATAATTTGGAGCTCGAAATATAATCTACATCTACACCCTATATATAATTCCCGAATGTGCTGAGCCTAAATGGCAGGCTCGCATGCTTCGGGATTTTAGGTATCAAAATTTTATGCTTCATTTTTTTGTTTGGATAGATTTTAATTTATTAATTTTAATCCTAAAATAATTAGGTCCGGACTACCATAAATATATTGATTTATTTATGGTCATTTTAGATGTATTAATTGTATCTTAATATCATCCCCTATATATAATTCCCGAATGCGCTGAGCCTACGTGGCTGCTTCTGGTGCTTCGAAATTCTACTTGGCGAAGAATCATGCTTCGTAATTAGGTTTGGACAAATAATATTGATATATTAATAATTAATAATCTAGGTTCAGACATTCCATAAATATTATTTAGCTAACTTATGTATTTTAATATCACTTATACTAATATAACTCTTTAATTGTTGGTAATTTTACATAGTGAAGAACTAAGTGGCTAATATATCTCTGAATTTTGATTTGTTTCCTTCAATTAGCTATTGAATTGTAAATGTATTTTAAAAGTTGATAACTTTTGTATTTCTTAAAAGGTTTTACATATATAATATATCAAATTAATCATCTTTTGATGATCTTCGATTTGACATCCATATTGTATATATAAAATAAATAAATTATATTTATCTTTATAATAATAAAAATAAATATATTTATTTGAATTCATTAGAAAAATAAAATTATCCTATATATAATTCTCGAATGCGCTGAGCCTACATGGCTGGTTCTGGTGCTTCGGAATCCTACTTGGCGAAGAATCATGCTTCGTAATTAGGTTTGGACAAATAATATTAATATATTAATAATTAATAATCTAGGTTCGGACATTCCATAAATATTATTTAGCTAACTTATGTATTTTAATATCACTTGTACTAATATAACTCTTTAATTGTTTGTAATTTTACATTGTGAAGAATTAAGTGACTAATATATCTCTGACTTTTGATTTGTTTCCTTCAATTAGCTATTAAATTGTAAATGTATTTTAAAAGTTGATAACTTTTGTATTTCTTAACGGTTTTACATATATAATATATCAAATTAATTATCTTTTGATGATCTTCGCTCTGACATCCACATTGTATATTTAAAATAAATAAATTATATTTATCTTTATAATAATAAAATATAAATATATTTATTTGAATTCATTAGAAAAATAAAATTATTTCTCAAATGATGTTTTTATGTTTAATGTAGTTATATGTTGTAAGTTAAAAAAATTATTATAATATAATACAGGTAAATCGCACGAATAAAAAGTGGCATATTAAATATAATATATATATATATATATATATATATATATGAAAGGTATTTAAATTTTCAACTACTTTTTCTCATTAGCCTTAGATTTAAGGAAAAAAATAGCAAAAACCCGTGTAATACACGAGCGTTGTACTAGTTATTTGTACAAAAGTGAAGAAGATTGATGTGCTATTTTTAAACTAATGCTAGAAGAATGATCAGTGGCTGACAAAACTTGATTTTTCTAATGAATTTGTTATGTTTTTTCGTTGCTTTTTCGGAGTGTGTAGTACATATTTATAGGCAAACGAGGTGATGTAATTGAACATTAATTTTTTTAACAACCAACTACCAATCATGATCAACCAACTAATTCCTACTTAATTATAGAATGTGCATTAATTTAACAACTTGTCACATTATCACTGTTGTTATGCGATTTTGTATCAACATGGGGTATTCAGAAAATAGTATTTGTATTGGATTTCAGTGAATTTTTGTATGTTGAATTTGCTGTATTTTTTCATGTTTCTGTTGAAGGAAGAACACAAGAAAAAGTTAGAAAAAAGGCCTCTTCTTTTGTGCAAGAGAAGAAAAGAAAAGAGAGTAAGAAAAGTCCCTCAGACTTATCTGTCTGACGTCCATCATTGGGGTTTATATATATATTTTTGGTGGGCCCGATATTATTACAAGCGGTGTTATTTGTGGGCCCTAAAATAAAACAATTTATATAATACATATCCATGTGTAATATTTTAATAGGCGAGGCCAAAATTGGGTATTAACAGTAGGCCCCTGACTTTAAGACATGTTCTGAATAGAACTGTTCTGAAGTCACGTGTATAGCCAATTTAGCTGTATAATTGTTGGCCGGGTGCTTTGGGACCCGTAAATGTTTCGTGGATCGCTTTCAGGCTTTGGCCTGTCATATTGACGGTAATCATTTTTTTTTTTCTGACGAGTGGAGTCGACTGCGTGGATAGTAAACTATGTGAAAATGATATATGAATGGGGCCTGGTTGGCCTGGCAGGGTAATTCGGTACCCGGTTTTCGTGTGTAATAGGACGCATTAGGTGGATTTGCGTCTGTGATGATGATAATAGTATAGATTTGAGCTGGTGCGGTCACTTGGGCCCCTTGTTTTGCTATCGATCTATATGCGAAGGTGTTATCGATATGATATATCTGCCCACCGAGTTGAAGAACTCGGTTACGGACGGACTTTCTAGCCCTACCAAGCTGAAGAACTTGGTAAAAATAAAGATTATAGTCTACCGAACTGAAGAGTTCGGTAAAGGCATGGGTATAAAAGGCATGGGTATCAGCCTTACCAAGTTGAATAACTTGGTGTAAGTAAAGGCTTCATCATACCGAGCTGAAGAACTCGGTGTAATGATTTTTTCTTTCGCATACTTCCCAGCCGGAAAGGTCTTATTGACTTTGCCTAACCAGTGTGGGCCCAAACAAATGAAGGCGTTTGGTTTATTGTATTCTTTTGATTTGGATGTCAAGATGTATGTACGATGCGCATATGTAATGAATGTATGTGTGACGCGCGTATGAATGTATGAATGCATTACTGAGTATGCCGATGCGTAGTGCGCATGTGCAGTAAATGATTAATGTTCGATAAATAAGGATACCTCGATATTTTGTCGAGTCTGAGTTCCTTTTCTGAGTCTGATGTCATATTCTGAAAAGTCGGTATTATGGAGAACCGACTAGCAAGCTGTTTTGAACTTGCAATACTCGACACTGTTCAGGCTGTGTCCGAGTTGAAAAACAAGGGTCACCGAACTTTGTCACAGTTCGATTATGGAACGACCTCAACCGAACCAAGTGTGTTCGGCTGTCAATGAGACCTCGTCAAATCATGTTTGCTGAAGTAACGTGGACGAGCTTTAGCCCAACCAAACCATACGTGGGATTTGGATGTATTACGAGGCGTCAGCTATAAAGGGGTCACCGAACTTCGTCACGGTTCGATTATGGAACGGTCCCAACCGATTTGTTTATTTTATATTCGGTGACTATCGGGACCCGTCAAATCATGGTTGCTGAAGTGACGTGGACGAGCTTCAACCCCAACCAAACAATGCGTGGGATTTGGATGTATTACGGGGTATCAGCGAAACCGAGTGTCATAATATTTACATCGGTACCGAGCTGTTGCTCGGTTTTTTTTTGTGATAATT